CTCAACCTTGCCCCCCACCCACCACCACCACCACCACCACCACCACCACCACCACCACCACCACCACCCTCCACCCATCACCTTACACTTGTAGCACATCATGCTGGCCAGAGTGTTTGAAGTTGGACTCTCGGGCTTGCTACGCTTCGCCATGGCCTTTGTGGTCGTGGGCATGGAGGCGGCTCTCCGAGTCACCGTCTTCCTCATTCCCTCGGTAAGGCAGCGCTCTTCCCCCTCCCCTTCCCGTCCCCCGATCTGATCGCACTCACCCCCTGTCACTTGTCGTCTTTCAGTTTGTCATCCGGGCTGCATCGAGCCTTCGCAAGCAGGCTCTGCGGGCGCTCCCGCCGTCGCTGCGGTCGTTGCGGGGCGTGGCCGAACCGGCCGATCCGTGCATGGTGACGGCGACATACTCGGCGTCGACGAGCGAGCTGGCGCGGTTCTACGGATACGGGTGCGAGGAGCATGCGGCGGTGACGTCAGATGGCTTTGTCCTCATTCTGCATCGGATCACCCCGCGCCACGGCCCGCGCCACGGCGCGCCGCCTGTCCTTGTTCAGCACGGCCTACTGCAGTGCTCCGAGACGTGGGTGACGACCAACGACGCCTTGGCCTTTGCGCTTGTGGACGCCGGCTTTGACGTCTGGCTCGCCAACAACCGCGGCAACCGGTACTCGTGCAAGCACACCCGGCTGCGGCCGGACGATCGGCGGTACTGGGACTTTTCGCTCGACCAGCACGCGCTCATCGACCTGCCGACCAACGTCGATGCTGTTCTTGAGTCTCGGGCACCCAGCGGCTGGCGTACGTCGGCTTCTCGCAGGGCTCGGCCATGGGCTTTGCCGGCTTTTCGCTCTCGCCGGAGCTCTCGGCCAAGATCAATGTGTTTGTGGCGCTTGCGCCTGCCGCCCGCGCTGTCGGCCTCCAATCAGGCCTGCTCAAGACTTTTGTCGACTGCGCACCCGACTCGCTCTATTTGCTATTTGGCAACACGCGCATTGTGCCGTCGGCCATCTGGTGGCGCAACAACCTCTCGCCGGGCCTCTTTGTCACCACCATTGACCTCTGCGTCCGCTATCTGTTTGGCTGGCGGACGGCGTCCATGTCGCGCCTTCGCAAGAAGCTCTGCTACCCGCATCTCTATTCGCCGTCGTCGGTCAAGACCGTCGTCCACTGGTTCCAGATTGTCATCTCCAACCGGTTCCAGATGTACGACGACTCCTTTACGACAAACTCTGCATACACCGGTGCCGTCCCGGTCGAGTATCCCATCTCGCAGCTCTCCATGCCACTCGCGCTCTTCTACGGTGGCGAAGACAAGCTGCCTGACTTTGAGTGGCTGCTCTCGGTTGTGCCGGCGTCAGCCACCGTCGCCCGCATTCCACACTACGAGCACGTCGACCTGATGTGGGCCGACGACGCATCGGACCTGGTCTTCAATCCGGTCATCGACATCCTCGCTGCTCACGCTGACGCGGTCCCGGTCCCGGTCCCTGCGCCACGCATTCCTGACTCGCGCCGTGTTGCGTGAAGATGATGATGGTTTATTGTCCAAGGTCAAGTTACAGGTGCTGGGCCTTGGTCAGCGCTTCGAACACTGCCAGCCGCGGACGCCACCACGACGCGCCGCTCCAGGCCGAGCCCGGCGTCCGCCGGGTCATGTGCCGCATTGGGCATCCACCGCTTTGCAGATCGCCATGCGGGCAGATGCCAATGGCCGCAAAGCTGAGGCAAATCTCAACGCTTGCGGATGCCGAAGCTCGTGGCGCGGTCGCCTGCGGCCGCTTGGAGCAGCATGCCGCCGGCGCCATGGCGGGCGCAGTCGCGGACTTGGCCGCAGGCTTGGCCGCGGGCGCAGTTGCCGCCGCGTTCGCCATCGCGGTCGCCTGCTCGGTCGGCGCCACGGACGTCACCGAGGCCGCCGAGGCAGACGAGGCCTCGGACGCTTCCGACGACGTGTCCGACTCGTCGGCGATCGGTCGACGGTCAGCAAGTGACAGGCGGTGCAAGCCGGCAGAAGGATAGGCGTGCCGCGCCGCAGAAGCCTTGCCCGACGAGCTCTTGGTCGACGAGCGCCGGTCGGTTGCGGGCCGGGCCGGCCCCCGCCTTGCTTGCCGCGGGCGGGCCGGTCGAGCCGGCCGCGGAAGCGCCAGCGGAGACGGCGAAGGGCGGAAGACTTGCTTGATGGTCTTGGTATGTCCCAGATTGTCGTTGCGTGAGCGAAGGTCGGTCTCCCCGTGCGCAAAGAGGCACCTGTAGCAGCCATGGTGTGAGTTAGAGGCGCGCTGCCCAACAGAAAAAGGTCGTGAAACTCGATGCGACTTGGCACCCCCTCTCCCCCAGAACCTTCCATCGCCCCTCCCACCACCCGGTACGTACTTGGATCCAAACTTGCACGTCCCGCGCTGCTTCCAGTGCTTGCAAATGGTTGTCTTGTACAGCACAAGCACGTGCCGGGAGCCATCTGGGCGCACAGACGGCGGAGTACGTCCCGGAAGCCGGCCCGGCTTCCGCCGCTGATCGCGATCAGGACCTGCCAGGTCACGCCCGCCGCCGGCACCCCGCTGCCGCCGGCTGCATCCGATCCGCGACTTTCGTCCGCTCATTCTCCTTGGCAATGGCCTGTGTTGACGTCTAAGAAGCTTGCTTGCTGCGAGGCTTCCGGCTTTGTCCGGAGATAAGTCTTGCGTCAACGCCATTCGCGCCGCCCATCGCGATCTGCCGCCGATCGTGATCGCGATCGCGCAGCCAAGACAGCCCGAGTGCGACTCAACGCCACACGGGCGCGCGAGCCCGGCACAAACAGCGAGCGCGACACAGCGCTCTCGCCGAGGCTCATGGCGAGAGCGGAGCGTGCGCACTCGCGCAGGCTCGCCAACTGGATGGCTCTGCTGCCGGAGGAAGCGCTTGCCCGGCGGGTATGGGAGGTGGCCCTCCCGGGGAGCCACGACTCTGCGGCGCACGCCGTGGCCTTCTGGCACACTCTGCGGGCATCGTACGCAAGCCTGCCCACCCGGCGGCTGGCCGGGCGTGTGCTGCGCGCAGTGGCGCCGGTGGCTGCCCCACTCGGGTGGATCATCCGCGGGTGGGCGCAGACGCAGGCGCTGGACATTGCCGGCCAGCTCGCCGCCGGCGTGCGGGTCCTTGATCTGCGGGTCTATGCCTGGCACTCTTCGGCGGCAGAAGCAGGCGATGATGAGGCGGCGGCGGCGAGCGGCGATGGGCTGCAGTATGCGCTCTCGCACTCGTTTCCCACCGGTGAGGCGCTGGAGGACGCCCTGGACGCGGTACTCGCCTTTCTCGCCGAGCACCCGACCGAGCTCGTCGTCGTCCGCCTCACCGAGGACGGAGAGCCCTTCCGCGCCCCACACCTTCTCATGGCCATGCTCGACAACTGCATCGCTCCAGCGCTTGCCCGCCACGCTGCCGTCGTCGCCGCCGTCTCCTCGGTCGAGCTCGAGCGCCCCATGGCCGAGCTGATCGCCGACGGCCGCCGACTGGTTCTTCTCTGGGAAGGCTCGCTCGACGCTCTGCCTGCCATAGACACGTTGCCGAGCTATATGGTGTGGGCGCTCGCCACGTCGTCTCCTCTCACTGGGACAACACCGACGAGCTCGAGGTCAAGCTTGCCGCCCTCGACGCACGCGTCAGCCTCCTTGCCGAGAGCCCGCCAGCGCTCTTCTCCGAGATCGACTTTTGCCTCACCCCGTCGCAGCCGCTCATCCGCTCGCGCTACCTTCCGTGGCAGCGATGCGCGCGGCAGACATACGGCTCTCTGGCCTCGCTCTGTGAAGCCATGAACATCTCTGCCACCGAGTACGTCACCGCCCACGGCGCCGCCCTCGCCAGCTCGGCCTCGTTCCTTTCGTTCGACTTTGTGGACCCAGACCTGATGGCATGCGTCATCTATTCACTCTACGCCATCGATTGCCGCGCTCGCACTGGTGGCAAGTATGGTGAGTCCCATGGCGGCAGCAGCGTGTGCTGCAGCGATGGCTTGTCGAGTTCAACCGTTCATCGTTCCAGCGACGACGAGCACGCCTCTGACCTGGACGCATCGCAGCCGCTCCTGGATCCCGCTAGCCCGAGGTGGATCAAACTCACCAGCAGCCGTAGTCATCAACGCAAGGAGTGGAGAGATGCGGCGCCGCAGGGACGCTGCACGCGCTGTGCGATCTTGCCAACCGCTTGGCTTCTGCCGCCACCGCCGGGCGACAGCTCGCAGAAGCCGACTGACTCGGAGCAGACCTGGTCGGTGCTATCGACTTTGACCGCCGTGTTGATCGACGGCAGGGCGTGAGCTCGGCTAGAAGGAGGAAGAAGAACTCCGTCTCCCAATGCGCCCGCGGATCGATGCCGACGTCGATGACATTATGCACGTCGAGCGGGGCGGGAAACGCAGAGCAGATCTCCGACGCCAGCCGCCGGTCGTCCATCACCTCGTGCACGTCGGCACTTGTCGCCGACGCCCGCCCAAATGCGCCTGGCTGTCCGGACGCTGCTGCAGGCCTACGTGCCGAGCATTCGGTTCTCCAACACCCACCGTCTGTTCAAGGAGGTGAGCGGAAGCAGTTCTGCTTCTGCCTCCTCCACTGCCGGTGCCAAGGCTGGGGTCAACGTGGAGTCCGTCACTGTGGTGGATTCCTGGGCTGGTACGTGCCCCCCTTCCCCCCCTTCCCTCCCCCACTCTGCGCCGCGTCAACCACCGCCACAGCCGCTGCTCCGACCCGCGCCTTCCCCTCCTCCTCCGCACCCCTACCTCCCCCCTACCACACACACACACATACTCACTCTCCCCCGTCCCCCTCCTCTGTCGCCCCCACCCCTCCCCTCTCCCCCTCCCCTCCCTCCCGCCTCCAGACCTGCCCGCCTACTACGCGCCGCGACCCGTCGCCGAATGGGAGATGGAGGCGCTGGTCGACGGTGTCGCCGGCAACCACTAATGGCGTCACAGGTAGAAGCCGATCCGTTTGTGAGGGACTGCTATGCGGCTCGACACTGTGTAGCCCTTGCACAACGGATGAGCAATCGGCACGCGACTGGTCCCGGTGGCCTACTTGTTCGAAACTGCTTACGACGAGATAAAGACACGTTTATGGTCCGCCTGCCGATGACGCAGGGGCGGTCGAGGCTGCGGCCGAGGTGACAGCGGCCACGATGGCGCGGTTTCGATGGGCGCCAAAGGCGGCGTCGGTGCCCTCGACCTCCTCGACCCAGGCCATTGTGAGCTCGGGGAGAATCTCGACGATGAGCTCGTCGACGTGCTTGCGAATGCGGAGCTGCCGCTCGGAGCGCGAAGGGATGGAGAAGACCTCGTCCTGGGCGGTGTTGATGATGGCGACCTCAGCGTCGCGCTTGGCATCGGCGCGCGCAACCTCAGCACGCAGCTCTGCCCGGGCGCCGGCATACTCGGCTCGGGCGGCCTTGACCGCGTCGAGCACGCTCGCCGCAGCGCCGAGGTACGACTTGGCACGTCGCGAGTTGGGCGGCGACGGCGCGCGCTCGATGCGCTGCACGATGACGTCGCGCCCAGCGTCGGTGTGCTTGTTGTACAGTCGGAGGTGGTGGGCGATGAGCGGGCAGTTGCCGCAGGTGTTGAACGGGACAAACATGTAAGCATCGCGCGGCGGGGCCCGCGGCGCGGCAGGCGAATTCGGCGCAGCATCGCGGCCTGCACCTGCTCCGGCCGCTGACAACCCGCGGCGGGCTCTCAGCGAGCTCCGCGCCCGAGGCGGGTCAGATGACGGCGGGGCAGGTGCCAGTGGCGGCGCGCCCGGCTCGGGCGACGGCGGGCGCGGGCCGCGTCCGCTAACCCGTGCAGCGCCCTCGCGATGGCGCTGGAACATCTTGTGCAGCGTCGCAGTCTTGCGTGGTGCAGACGTCGAGCCCGGCAAGTCCTCCATTGACGCTCGGGTCTCCTGCTCAAAGTCCTCCATGACCTGCATGGCGGTCTCGTGCACAATGGTAACAAAGTCCTTCGAGTCGGGCAGGAGCGCCGCCGGCCACGTCGCCCACACCCGGTACGGCGCCTTGGTCCCAGACATCCACAGGTACACCATGTTGCAGAGCTTGTCTTTGAACGGCGGGCCAAAGGCGGTGAAGACCGACTGCGGGAAGGCTTCGCAGAAGGAGCGAAAGAGCGCCATGGCCAGGCACGACGGGTAGCGCTTGAAAAAGTCGTCCTTGAACTTGGGCGGGACGAGCATAAAGAGTCGGGTGTAGTTGTCAGCGATGCGATCAAACATGGCGTTCATGTCCGAAGCCTTGGCCGCCGACTGCAGCTTGGAAGTGTTGTACTCGGAGCACCAGAACCACCAGAACACGTCCTGCAGAATATCGATGGAGAGCCGCGACCGGAACAGCAGCTTCCACTCGCCCATCGACATGGTGGGCACAAAGGTGAAGAGCTCGCTGACAAACAGCATGATGTCTGCCGCGTTGCGGTCCTCTGGCAGCGGCAGCGGCGTCGTAGCATCGGGATTGAAGCCCGGGTACTTGGCCACCGTCACAATGTTGTTCTGCACATTGGCGTAAAGCGCCCGCGCGTTGGTCGGCAGCGCCGCAGCACGGATCCGCGCCTCGGCCGCAGGCGTTCCGGGCGCAGCCACGGCCACGGCCCCGCTCCCGCTCCCGCCAGCTTCGGACGGCTGGGTGATGAACGTCGGCTGGTGGTCGGCCGAGTCGGCATCGAGCTGGCTCGCCTGCACGGGATCGAGTCCGTACACCGCCACAGACTTGAGCAGCTCGGTCCAGTCGTACCGCATCAGCGTCTTCTCCAGCTCGCCCATCCGCTCCATCAGCTCGTCTAGCTCGCGGGTGGCAAAGGCGACCTCGGACATCTGCACCGCCGCGTGCAGCGATGTCAGCTCCTCCAGCGCCAGACCCTCGCTGCTGCCTGCCTCCCCGCCTCGACCTTGACCTCCGCCCGATCCCTCCCCTGGCCCCGCCCCCCCTCCTGCTTCTGCTCCTCCTCCCGCCCCCGCTCCCGTTCCGTCTCTGCCATCAGCCCGTCTCGGGCTGGCCTTGCGGACGGCGAGAGCAACTGCCGCCGCGTTGGCCGCACCTGCCGCAATGGTCAGCCCAGCATACGGACGCACAAGCTCCGACTTGGGTCCCGGAAGTGGTGGCCAGGCCTTGGACCCGAGCAGGTTCTCCAGCGGGTCGCTGTCCTGCATGGCGGTGGTGGTGGTGGTGGCCGCGGTGGGTCGAGTGGCTGTCACCCGACTCGACTAGCTTCGGCGCAGGGAAGGGGAAGGGCAGTGCCAGCGTAAGCGATCGACGAGGAAGCGCATAGCTCACAGGCGATTCGAGTGGTGCTACTGTGCTTGATTGTCCATCAAGTCTTTACTTTGGACGGCAGTGGCGATGGTGCGTGTGGGAGGGGGAGGGGACAGGGGGGCTGCAAGCTGGTCGGCTCGTAATCGGAGATCGTGAAAGTGGCAAGGAAGGCAACGGCGGGGCGGGAGGGGGGGGGACGATGCGGAAGGGCAGGGGGGCGGGTTCATGGGCGATGGGCTGGATGGATGGATGGCTGGCTGGTTGGATGGATGGATGGAAGGTGGGTTGGTTTGATGGAGGGAATGGAGGAGGACAGCAGCACAGTCTGCGTCCGGGCGGATGAGTGAGGGGAGGGGGGGGGGGGGTAATGATTGGGATGAGGAGAGTTAAGCGGTGGTCATGGCCGACGGGCCATCGTCGTCACCAACGGTGGCCATGGCAGAGTCGAACTTGTCCGAGAGCACATCACAGAGGGCAGCAATGTCAGCAAAGGCCTGCTTGAGCACCTCGACCGCTGGGAGGCCCTTGGTCTGCAGCCGGACGTGCATAAAGTTCTCCGACGGATGCGGGACCGAGTAGCCGCAGAAGCCCACCGCAGGGCTGAAGACGGGCACACAATGATGACGACGAGATGATGAGTGATGACGACAGGGAGGGGGGGGGGGCAGGGGGCAGGGAGGGGGAGGGGGAGGGGGAGGGGGCAGGGGGCAGGGGGAGGGGGAGAGGGAAGGGTGCGATCGAGTCATGAGGAGGCAGCAGGCAGGCAGCAGGTAGACAGCAGGCAGGCAGCATGCAGACAGC